TCAATAGGAATGCTGTTTTGGGGAATAGTTTACATATATGACTGAAAGGTTTCAGTGCTGAAAAATATGTGGCATGTAATTAATTATATTTTTGAGTACTTCCGGGCCTGGTCACACAGTAACCCATAAATTGTTGAAATGAGAATATGCCTGAACATATTATAACAAAACATAGATGGGAACTGAAGTTCTTTTTATGTAAATAACATTTATATAATAATAGAAAAAAAATAGAGCATTAGGATAAATCTAAAAAACACAATACAAAGAAAATATAAATATAAGTAATAGCATCATCCACTATATAAGAATCATTTTAAATGATGCATGCATTTTCAATTTATGAACTAACTATATTTTTGGTGCAACTATATTTAGATAGCAATATTATGCATGAAAGTAATTATAGTTTTAGATACTAATAAAGTCCATCTTAATATTATATCATACTTTCTACTCTTCCCTTATTGAAGTATTACTTTTAGTCATGTTAATTCATTCTAGTTGCAACTCTACACAATTTAATTATGTCTCTGTACTGGATGATACTTTTTTCTGATTTTATGTACATTTCTGTGTGTCTGTCTATACACATGTGCATACAAATCAAAATGTACTGCTTAAAAAATAGGTATCTTTTAAATGTATGATTATATTAGATAATATCTAAATTGCTACATTTTCCTAATGTTTACAATATAAGCATCCATTTTTGCATATTTCGATTTTCTTCAAATAGACCATTTTTTGTTATTTAGCAATGGAACTGAAATAATCTGTATTAGAGTATTTTAGTCCCACTGCCCCACCTGATAATAACATGTATCATATCTATGTTGGGATCAGTAAAATAGCTCTAAAAGTCACAACAATGGGTAGAGAAGTCTATAAGAAAGAAAATTTCTTACAGTTGTCAGATTTTAATTCTTGCTTCAAATTTTAAAATTTGTAATAACCTACTCAGAGCACCTGTCAGAGAGTAGGATAACATTTGAATAAATAGATATTTCAGGAGATCAGTTTGAAGAAGGAAATTTCATTTAAGAACCTCTTTTTTAAATACCTAAGGAATAAAGTTTTATTCTACAAATGAATAGAAAAAGGCTCACAGAAAAGCAATTTTGAAACAAGGTACTTATTTTAAGCTGAAAGGATTTAAAACTAAATGATATCTATACTACGATAGGAAATGTCAGTCAATACCTATCATGAATATATCTTCTTCCGTTTAAAAAAAATCCTACATTTTAAAAAAAAACCTATGTCAAGACAAAGGCTGAATTAAAACTCTTCTTGCTATTATAATTTTCTCCCCATGGGAGGGAATTTTCTCTATGAGTAAATCCTATGGGAACCCAATCTTAAATGGTTCAGCCCACACATAGAATTATCAGCTTTTTATGAGAATCAGGGCCAGTGTTGTAGCAAAGAATTTCAACATGTGACACAAATTAGCATCTGCAATGAAAATATCAACCAAACATTCCTATAGGTCACTAGAAAACTATGGCAAAGATAACCTATTTCACCTTCCAGAATAAACATACCAACTATAAAGGAATAAAGAACAGACCAGTTTTAGGTTCAAATGATGCACATACAACAGCCCAAGATGCTAATCAAAGCTCTGTCTTAGCTCTCCTATTTCAAATGGTTAAAAGGATGGATGGACATAGTATGACCTCTAGAAAGAGACTACTAGAAGGACTTATCAGAGGGAACATTTTGAGGGGATCTATACAGACACACATTTGGAAAAGTTTGGCTTCTGCCATGGCTCCTGCATGGAGAGATCCTTAAGATGTTCTTGAAAACATATGTGAAAGCAAATATTTGTGCAGCAGGCAAAGAAAATCACAAGTAGAGGGAGAAACAAAATGAAAAATAACCTTTCTTGAACAAAGCTGAACATTCCAGCTTGCAGATGTTACTAGGATCTCAACAGAGCCCTAGTTTACCATAATTTTGCTCTAAACATTTTTACGGCTAACAAAAAGCAATCATCATCCTAATGCTGGCAACCTTTCTGAAGGCTGTGGAAATTGTCTCTTAATATCCTAAAGTCAACTGGCAAAGAATAACCCAACCTATAGCCTACACAGTATTCAGAGTCGGGGTAGGCACCTAAACATTATTTACATGTTCCCCAAGTCTCCCTGTTTTAAGGTCACAAGGCATCTGAACCATTATGGCTGGATTGTTTTAAAGCTTTCTGCTGAACACCTGCAAACATCAAACAAAAACTGCTAGTCCTTTAAAGCATTGACAAAATCCTTTCATGTGAAAAATGCACCCTGAGAATGTCAGGCCTGTGGCTCAGGTTACAGTCGTTTCTCCTTCTCTGCCTTCCAAGTTCTAAAGGTAGCAAGAAACCACATTTGGCAAATTAAAACTTTAAAGGAAAATCCAGGCCTGTTTTCTTTTCATTCACACATTACATGCCACACCAGATCATTTCGTATGAAATGAATTTTTTTTTTAAATGCACACATACAATTTGTTTGCAATATTCTGTTTCATACTAAAAATCTCGAACCAGTTCTTCCCATCCTTTCATCAAATGAGTACCCATTTTAACAGAGATATAAAAAGATACCCTAAGTAGTCTCCCAACCAACCTCTAGATTGCTTCGGATTCTGTACAGAAAACAAGTGAAATCTAGACACAACGTATTTATTTAGTGCATGTATCCATGGATCAAACTATGACATTAAGCTACAGTAATGCTAGGTTTTTTGCAGCAATGTGTGTATATTTAAAATGTCATCATAAGGATACTTCCTACCACTTTATAACAGAACCATATTTTGATTCAGTATAACAATAATGCAACTATATAAGTACAGGACTCCTCTGTATAGTTCATTTGTCAAAAACACATTAAGAAACAATAAAATCAGGAATCAAAGTATAGTAAATATAACTTCAGGTCCCAAGCTTTCTTTAAGATTTAGAGACAGATTCATAACATATTGGCTTCTATCAACTCTTCTTCCTACTAAATGATTCATTTTAAAAGCTATTCCTTACTGATTTTTTAAAAATAAACCAAATACTATTCTATGTAATCATACAAATCCATACAATTTTGACACATTGTTTTTACTGATACTTAATCAAGTGAGCTAGAACATAAAACTGCTTAGTATATTCTAATGTTATCTCATTCATAAATAGGAAATCAGTTCATCAAATTCAAGAGCTTACAAGATATTTTTAGAACTCTGGTCTTAAGGTGACTTAAGAAAAAAAATAGCATGGTTTTGAAATCTCTTTAATTTTATTATCTTACTTCATGCTTTTGTGTTTTTTTTCTTCTTTTCAGTTATTTGCATATCAAAGCAAGATGGTTGCTTAAGCATATAATAAAATGCTCATTTTTGTCCTTAGATTTCCAAAAGGTTCTTTTTCATCCTTTTAAAACTGTTGATAAAATAGTCTCTTAGGAGATTATTAAACTAAGGCAAATCCCTAAAAATGAACATCTTGCTAATATTTGTTAGAACAGTTGTTATCTGTAATATTGATTAAATATAAAAATGAGCTATCTGGCACAAATAATTTATACTACTTATATAATGAAAAAAATCTTATATACATTCTTTAAAAGATTATACTAACAATTGTTTTGTTTTAAAATAAAACACTTCTTGGTAAGATACTACATTTAAAGGAATGGATAACAAATGTGTATTTAGGGATTAGGGTATATGGATTCAATAAATGTTAGTAAACTATCAAGTTAGACATTCCTTTATTTTTAAAACCAGGAATTAACCAGACAATATCAGAAGATGCAACAAAATATAAAGTAATTTCAAATAGATGACTATCCTAGTTGTCAGGATATCATTTATTAAAAATGTTATAAAAACATTCAAAATATTTTTAAAGAAAGCTATTGAAAATAATTAAATATATATTAAACTGGGCATCAATTTATTTCTTATTCATTTGAATTCTTAGTCCAGGCCTGTTAAAACCACTGGGAGTTTTGCTATTGAATTTGATAGCATGATAATGCCGTACACAGTAACTGATAATGAACTTGTAAAGTCTTATCAAAATTTAACATCTGGTTCAGAGATGCTCCTCTCATAGAATTTTGGTCAGTAAACAGTTATGTGCAATTGCCAAAATGTTGAATACACTGCAGCTATTTAATTGTAAATGTATCAGAAGCATATCCGAAGGACAACATTCAGTAATGCAGGAAATACTATAAAATACAATTACTGAGGGAAGAACAGTTCAGATGCGTCTTTCACACTGCTAGCATGACAGAAAATGAATTATTCCCAATACATAAACATATTCTGTATTCCAAATTCAATTATTATTATATTCAGAGGTTCCTGCATCAAAAAACCAGATCCTTTCTTTGGGTCACAGAGAAAATAACTATTTGCAATGAATATAACACATTTTTCAACACATACACAGATAATAAATATTTGCATTAATATCAACAGGCTCTTTTTTCTTCCCAAAGCTGTTACGATCATCAAGAAAGACACTGTAATAGGATTTCAGCTTATGGTCAGAAGTGTTGCCCAGACAGTAGCTAATAGATGGCCAAATTTGTATATGCTAATGCTTAGAACAAATTAGGATGAAAAGAAAAAAAGAGGCTGGATACTAAAATAGAACTATAAAATGGTTATTCCTCTTTTGAAACATGGAAATAATTACTACCTTTAGGGAACTGAGTTTTGCTTCTTATATAACAAAAGGAAAGGTGTGTTTTAAAAGGTTTGCATCTTAAAATAGGTCCTGCAAAATATATATACATACATATATGTGCATGGAATTCTTCTTCCTAAGATACTAAACGAAACATTTGGCAATATGAACAATAGAGCACTTCAACTGATCTTAATATAAGTCCTTAATCCAAGCTAAAGTTATACTCCCCAAACTCATGCTAACTGTACATGTAGGATAAAAAAAAATACTTTAAGGACACTTCAACTGAATTCCAAACAGAAATTGTACATACTTGAGCCACTAAAGTGTCCACTCGCCAAAGAAGTTGGCCCATTCTTCCCACTGCTGACAGGAGGTGAAAACATCTAAAAGAAAACAAAGAGGTATTATTGTTGGTAAACAGAATTATTTTTTCCTATGCTGAAAATCCATTCAACATTATACAAAAGCTGTCATCGTGATTTTGTTTAAATATGAAATCTCTCTCCCATCACTGCCTTTGCAGCCCCACAGTTCTTAAAAAAACTACATTCTTCCCCCCCCCCCAATGTTAGTTTCACGCATTCCCCAAACAATATAAGATACATGATAGGAGGGACTCCAACAACCCCACACATATATCAACAAACGAAAACCTTCCTAAAAACATACAGACTGGCAAAGGTAAGGGGGGGAATAAAAAGTTTGTTACTGAAACCTTGGTCATAAATGAAGTTATATCCATTTCCATCCTCTTGTTAGGATTTGCCTCTCATAAGTGCCCTGGAAACTTCCACCTGCCCTAAATTTTCACCTCAGCTTTTAGTTCAAGAGCAAATTACATTACACTCACACTCACTCTCGTTCCCTCTCTTCTTCTGCCCCCCCCCACTCTCCTGCGTTTATTTCAACCCTAATTGGTTTTCATCTTCTTCTACGTGTCTAGTAGAGAATACACACCTTCTTCCTGAGTCAGAGACTACAAAAAGCAAAGGAAGAAATGAAAAAAAGAACAGTTAGCAAAGTGGGGGCTACCAAGCTGCCTCAGGCTACAGTTCCCTGTAGCCAAACTTCTCAAAGCCATGTCTGGAAAGGGAAGTCTGAAGGACCACAGCAGACTGAAACATCTTCCTTCTCTCCCCCCCCCCACCCCTTTGGATCCTGATTTCCCCCTCCCACAGTGGAAGTCTTTAAAGACACAAATGCATCCTATATGAAATTGACTTATCTTGCTTCTCTTCCCCCCCTCCCCCCCCCCCGCAAGTGTGGCGTAGCGCTCTCCAAGACGCTCTGCGCGATGCTTTCAATCAAGGGGACATGGAATTGCCAAAACCAAACATGAATAAATAATAAAGACTTCTGACATATTGGAAAGAAAGGGGGAGTGGGAGAGATTAAGAGTGGAGGCTTTTTTGGGGGGGGGTGGAAGAGCAATCCAAAGATGCGGGGAATAGTCTATTAAGCAGCTACTCAGGATTTGGTTAATATTAGGCCTTAGAATCAAGTTATTAAAAAAAGTGTGTAGGTAAAATAAAAAATGAAAAGAAAAATCACGCACACATACACACAGAGAGTGAGCTAGCCATCAATGGAGGGAGGGGGGGGGATATCCACAGGAAAGTTGCAGCCCATTCATTGGTATCAGAGCAAGATGAGTTTTCAGTGAAAACTTGAAGCTAGGCTACTAGTTCTGGATTTCCTTTCACTTTTCAGGTGGCAAAAAATGAAACAAGGGAAGAACTAAAAGTACACTGTAAAGAAACTGATTTACCCATCAGTTAAATGGCATGCGAGCCATCACTTTTAGAAGGCGATGCAGCACGTTAAGTAATTCTTATACACAGAAAATAATGAAAAATATCCGGATTTTTTTTAAATTATTTTTTTGTTTGACAGAGGATGTGTGGGTTCGTTTTTTTGGAGGGGATGTCAAATGCTAAGCACACACATCCCAATAAATGGAAGACCTTTTAAGTCCATCTCCTTCAGATAAGATTCTAATCAGTAAATAGAGCGTGCATATTTACCATGAATTAAAAAAACGCTGATTAAAAATTACTCATTGTACTTTTTTTTTTTAAAAAAAAACTCAGTTTGGCTTTGTTTTGGTTTAGTTTAACAAGACTTTTTCTGTGCTTTTCTTTTTTTAAACAGCTGTTGTTCATTTCCACCGTTGTTTCTTACCGCACTGAAATCCAGTAAATCACTGAGTTCTTTGTCCGTCCCTAAGGCAGCCATTCGCTGTTGGTGATGCATTTTAGCAAAATCACACAAACCTAGAAACATGGAAATAACCGCAATCAGAAACCCAAATCCCGAGCCTTGCAGGAAACAANCAACCAGGGATGGGGTGGGGGGAATGCTGCCTGTCTTCCCCCTCCCAAAGCAGCCTTGCAGGTTTTCAAGATCATCTGCAGAGGCGTTTTTAAAAAGAAAATGGTCTTCTTGGGAGGAGGAATGGGCTGCACTCAGAGTAGCTGGTGCCCGGGGTGCCCTGAAGCAGCGCCAGCCAACATGTCCATAAGAAAAGCCCCAAGGGCAAGTGCAGCAGCGCCGCACCCACCTCCGCCATGCCAGCCACCTAGCAATGCATCCCTGCTGCCTCCTTCTACTCAGCAGGTGGGCTGGGTAGGGGCATGGGCATGGCCCAGGAGAGGGTGGTTAACGGGGGGCTCTGCCCAGCCAGTTCTCACTCAGCAGCAGTTCCACAATGTTGCCTCCAAGGTGAGCAGTGGGCACCATGTGGCCAGGGCAGTGGGGGGCTCACTGGTGCCCACCCAGCCACCACTTAGTGGGCGGGCTGGCGGATGGGTGGAAGGTTGCCCTGGCACGACCGAGGTGGCACATTGTGTGGAGGCTTTGCAGGAATGAAGGGCTCCTGTCTTCCCTGGCCAGGCTGGGGTAGGGACAGCCTCGCAACAGGCGCGTCTGCCGCTTGCGGAGTGAAGACGTGGCACATTTTCCAGTCGTTCCTGGCCCTGCAAAGGTTCCAAAAGTGCCTGGTCTCTGGGACATCCCGTGCTGTGCCCGCCTCCACTGCCGCCACCTCCGCTCCCAAACTCAACTGTCAGCTGCGAGCAGGTGCCTGAATCTTCTGCTTGCAGTCATTTATGGCTGCAGATAGATTGTGTCTGTAGCGGGAAGCTCTTCACCCTGTGAGAGCTCCTCTCCAGCACTCCTAGTTTGGTATCATCATCAGTGCTAGAATGGAGTGCGGTTGGTGGGGGAGAAAGAGAAAGGACAAACAGGAGAAAGAGAGAGAGAAAGAGGAGGTGGGGATAGTGGGATCCTTGCTGCTTTCTGAGCTTGGTGGTTTTCTTACAGGCATTTCATTACCAAACTAGGTAACAGTAGTATCTCCGACCCTTTGGAATGATCTCCCCATGGAGATTCGTACCCTCACCACCCTCCAGACCTTCCGCACAGCCCTCAAGATCTGGCTATCC